AATCGCGTCGAGCAGGTATACCAGCGCGTCGGTGGCGGACTTGTTCGTTTAGACACGTTGTAGACAGCAGCAGCGCGACGATTACTTTGTGTTTAATAGAGATTAATAGAAGAAATAGCAAGCTGAATATCTGCTTTATTCAAAGCTAATTGAGTAGCGCTACGTTGAGCCATTGTTCGTTGAGATAGGAGAGGTGCGCAGGTTTGGTGGGGTGCGGCGCTCGCTTGCCTGCGGCGCTCGCTTGCCACATACGTTATCGGTTTCGTGTTCCGTGTTTGACTAGCTATGGCCATGGGTCAAAGGTTATGCTTCCCGGGCAACAGGTCGGCGGTACCGATGCAAGCAAGTCAGAATAAACAACCTTGGGGAATCCCCATGATACATGGCCGGCTGGGCATGGCAAACTCGTGTAGTAGACAAGGAAACTGTTTCAGACCAAAAAAGAAACACGTCTTTGCAAGAACCATGCCTGGTGACGTTGCCGCCTTTATGCACACAAACGGTAGGCATCCATCGGCAGTTGTACTGTAACACTCTTCATCCCCTACCCGCATACGTCACCCTTTGCTACCTTGTGCATCTCTCTCTCTTCCCTCGTGTTTTGCGGGCATGCCGATGCACATGTCGTCATAAACCATGGGTGAAGAGAATATTATTCCTCCAACCACGGGTCATTGTCGGAGCAGTATTCGAAGCCAGCAAAACTTTCCCGTACCTGGTGAGATTCCACGGCACACTTGGACCTGGACCCAAGATTCAGCCAGCCGCACGCTCACTCGCTTACTCTCGATGAAAATCTTTCTTCTCGAAGAAAAGTAATCGTGAACAAGGTATTCGGAGAATAAACCAGCTTCGCGCTTACAAAAAAAAAAGAGTACACTTGAGGCGTCAGCACACACCCCCCCCTTTTTTTTTGCACGCGCGCAACCTCTCTTGCTTCTCGCAGGCAAACCCCAAACGCTCTGCTCCCCGTTCCCCCCGTTCCCCTTCCCTTCCCTTCCCTCCCGTCCGCGCACCCGCAACGCACATGCACATGCTTCACCTTCCCATAACACAGATCTGCATCGCATACAGCCCTCGCCCTTGCCTCACATCATTCCACATCATATCTTATCATGCTTCTGCGAGGGCGATCAAGCAAGCCCATTTTTTTGTTTCCGTCTGCCCTTTTTTCTTCCAAATAGCGGCGGCGGCAGCGGCATTATTTTTCGAGAGGGGCTAGTTCGGCATCATTGTGGTCGGCGTCGGCGTCAGCTTCGTCGGCGTCGGCATGGTGGTTGTCGTATTGGTGGTGGTGGTGGTGGTGGTTGTCGAGGTTGTCGCATTAGAGCTATAGGTGGCGCTGGTATAGACTGCGAACACGCTGGTTATTATTCTCCTCCTCTTCCTTTTTTTGTGGCTTTTTTTTTCGCTCGATCGATCGGGATGCGCGGGATTGCGTGCGTGGGACATGGGGAGGGGAAGGGGGCTGGGGGCGCTGCCTAGTTTGTTTCTGGTGTAAGATAGAGTTTTGCGTAGCTCTTTTTTGGAGGGGTTGAGTATTTGTGTACATGGTGTTTGAGTTGTGTTTCCTTAGGCTCGTTTTGAGGCGTTTGTGGGGTAATCGGGTGTGTGTGTGTGTGTACGGACATGGGGGTTAGGTATGGGTAGGTAGGTAGGTCGGTAAGTATGTGTAGTCGTGTCAAGTTGTGTGTCGAGTCGTTGTTGTGGCTGCTATGACGACATTCTGTGTGTGAGAGTCCACCATGTCGTAAGGCTGGCAAGTAGAATTATTCGGATTTAAAAATGGTGAGAGAACATGTCATGTCGCTCGTGGCGATGGCGGTTTGATAGATCGGGGGGGGCTTGGACACGCGGCACGGCACGTGGACCAGGGATTCTACACAACATACGTAGGTGGCGGCGCTCTTTTGGGAGTAGGTGGCGTGAGTAGATTTTGGGGCTGGTAGGCGAGTGTAGCAGGTAGAATGGGCTGTTTGTAGGGATGGTGAGGCGTGTATAAATAGTAGATTTTGTTTTGTTGAGAAGACCTGGGTTTGGACGTTGCATGTAGCAAGGTGCTTCCAAAATAGGAAGTGAATGCGGGACATGGGTAGCCCTTGATGTATGTCGTCATGACAAGATCGAGGGTGTGAGGTGTTGTTGGCGTAGTCGGGGGTCGTCGAAGCAAGTCTGCATTCTTTTCGATGGGTTGTTGTCTTTCTATAGACTGTTGTTTTCGTAGATGACTACCTGTAAAATAGTCTTTATCGATCCGGAACAAGGTTTTGAATGTAATATCGTTGCGTTTTCTTCCACGTTGTATCGGCCATGTCGGATAATCATAATTTGGTGTCGGCTTGTATAGAAAGGTGTGGGATATCAAATACTAAATAGTCTTCCATAATGTGAAAGTCTCGTTTAATTTAACATGTCCCGTAATTACAGGTCGCAAAGAGAGGGCCCGTGTATGCAATTGAAGTCAAGTGGGTTATATACTATGCTGTTTACAGCACTGCCTTTAGCATTACTTTACAAGTAAAATGAATTTCTAGTAATGAATTGTAGTAGAATTTAGATTAATACACAAATATGAGATACTCTATATAAATTAATGCTGCAAATGACGAATGCTGCGTTTAATAAGGGCTATATATCAACTCCACATTTAATAAAAAGGGAATATGAAGATTCATTCGTTCCCTTCAATGAGATTCCGTCTTTCTTGAAAATAATCTAGTACCCGTTCAGGTCTTCTTAATCATAATCAGCAATATCAAATTTCATCTAAGCTGGCATACACACACATATTAAACTAGATATTTATGTCTCTTAACCCAAAATCGCAAAATCCCGTTTTTGCATGAGAAACTATATCAAATCAAGACAAGACTCGGTGTAAAACGATATAACCGGATAGCAGTGCTGTGTAAGCGTGAGATCAGTGGACCGGAGGAGAAAAAAGGAGGATGAAGATATAAGATGACAAGGTCATAACTCATATAATTGCGATATCTGTCCATTCTTACGATATGTAACAGGCTTGATACTATATGATTAGGCGAATTACTCCACTGCTATGCGTATCCAGCTCATACTCGTATTTCATAGAATATCTACATATCCTCTTCCTGGGTATCAACAAGCACTACTGGATAACAGCATGACCAAGAAGACGGTAGTCGATCATGCTCCTCCTCAACACTTTCAGGGACGGCAACAAGACACAAGGTCGTGCATAGTTGAAATCACAGTAACCAGTAGATATGGGACTCAAATCAAGAAAAAAGACATTCCATATCTTGTTTCTATTCTTATATTCATTCTTGCACATATTGGCAAACGCTACTGCAACTCGCACGCTCGAATTCTGGACTGGAAGAGCTGACAACAAGCCTAACTGTAGAGAGAAGTATCCAACGGCGCGCCGTGTTGCCCAAAATATTGTCAACACAAAGGAAATCTGTATATGACGCTACGCAATTTCACCATCCAAACGTCTCAACCTGAACATCAACATCCTTCCCCCCACTGATCAACCTTGCACACGCATTCCGTACATCTCTTACCAAGCCATCAGGCCCACTAACCACGACACCTGCTCTACCTCCGCTCTTACCAATCTCTTGCTCAACCCACTCGCCAACAATAAGGCCGACATGCGGGCGTCCGGCGAGGCTTGTAGGCGGGGGAACAAGTACGTCCAAGCCCCATTCCTTGAGTTCCTCGAGCTTGTCGTCTGGGATCCAGAGACGGTGCTCAGGTGCGTGCGTTATCCAGAGGAGTTTGACCTTTCTCTTGATGCGAGAAGACGCGGTTTCAGAGTCGGTGGGAGGGGAAGACGAGGGAGAGAGGAGGGAGTAGAGAAGTGGGTACGCGACTGCGATTCCAGAGCCGCCTGCAATGAGGATGGCAGTCGACGAGGCCGAGAGCATGTCGAGAGCATGAGAGGAGCCATAAGGGCCGTCGAGGCGAATGCGAGTTTGGGAAGTGGTGCGAGCGTATGAGAGGAGCCTGTGAGAGAAGCCTGATGTAGATTGGGCGCGGATAAGGAGTGTGAACCATGCGTGTTTTGCTTGGTCATTGTCTCTGGTTATTGTTGGGGCGGCGGAGAATATGGTGAATGGATGTGATTGTATAGGGTCTTTGCGGGACAAGGCGGGTACCGACAGGAAGATGTGTTCGTTGGGATTCCAGCCATGCGTCATGTTCTTTGGTACCAGCGCAGATTTTTGGGGAGAGACCTCCCAGTTCGCAGAGATGAGGACTGTCTCTTCGTCTTCAAGGATGGCGAGGGTTGCAGGATGTGTGCTCGATTTCAGCCACAACCGATACACGAGCCGATCAATAAGGAAGATGGCGAGGGATATGCCAACGTACGGCCTCGATGACTTGTGGTGGAAAAACAAGAAGACTAGTCCGGCGACTTGAAGTACAATGTGCAGTCCGAGGAAAATCTCGTACCACCTTTGCCGGAAGCTGCCGAGGCTCGTGAAATAGATCAGCTCGTATGCGATAAAGGCGGCCAGGCCTAGCAGGACCACGCGGTTGAAGATGAACTTGACAAGTGTAAAGCCCAGGTGCCTCAGCAGCCCGTACCATACAGAAACCATGCCCAGGAAATGGAGAAAAGCCTCCAGACACATGACCTCTCCGACTCTTCTGTGGAAGATGTTCAGGCTCTCGTACGAATAGCCCGTCAAGAACTTTATAGGCTGGTTCTTGGCAGCCAAAAGGTAGAGCAGAGGCAGGTTTACGATAAAGACGAGGCCACAGCGGTCGGCAAACACAAAGAGGTAATTGAAGGATATGGGCATGCAGTAGAAGTTGTAGAAGATGATGAGGCCGACCCATGCGAGAACAAGAAGCGAGGTAGCGTTGGTGGGAAGGGTTTTGTTGACGACGGGAATAGGGCGCGGCTGGTACTGGAGGGCGGCTTTGAGCAGGTAATAGGGCCGCCATGGCCCGACGCTCTTGTGCTGTGGCTTCCGCGACCGAAGCAGGGGCGTGGACTCATCAATGGTGTTTGATTTTGTCACGGCGGTGCTGTCGGGTGGTGTCACGCTGCCTGCTACCGTGCTGCTTGAGCTGCTCCAGGCCTCTCGATCGTCGGTGCTGGCGGGTTCGTCCTTGGCTGTCCTCGAGGCGGCTGCCCGCCGGCGGTGCAACACCAGCTTTTCGCTCCAGTGCCATAGTGTGAAGACCAGCAACACACCTAGCAGAACGAGGTTGTATGTCTGCAGGAACCCGCGACCCCACAGGATGGCTTCGACGAGTTTCTTGAAGCGCGGGTCCTTTCCAGGATCGTCCGGATCCAGAAGCTTGCCTCCGTCGGCGGCTGTGGAGATTCTATCGGATCCATCATGCTGCAGCCAGGGCGGCGGGGTGTCGGCGGTGGCGGTCAAGGCGAAGCGAAGAGCGTCTCGTAGCCATGGTGGAGTCGCTTCCATGGTGAGGATGGGATAGGGAAAGGAGGATGCAGGTGGAGCATGGGATGAGGTAGCGTCGCAAAGCTTCCCCACAATGCTCGCGTCATGCACGCGTGCTGGCATGCGATAAGCTTATCGACACTTGCCGAGGCACGCCTAGCTCCATTGAGACGACATGATTCTGTTCCAATCCTCTGGCACAGACTTGTGCAGCCTTGCCATGTTGGGACCTGATTTGCTCAAGAGTATATTACATGTGGATAATTTTAGTCTCGTTTGCATGGTGCCAGAGAGCTACGATGGCGAAAGCGCGAAGCCATGCTTGGTCGCCTACGTCATTCCTAGCGCTCATTTATTTGTCCAAGTGGGCTTCTCCTTGGCCGCAAAAGCAGCCATGCCAATCTTCTGGTCCTCGCTTCCAAACAGGCCGTGGAATACTCTCCGCTCGTACTCGACACCTTCCCGAATACCGAGCTCCTGGCTCTTGTTGACAACCTCCTTGGCCGCCTTGACGGCAATCTGGCTGTAGGACGCAATCTTGGCTGCCGTCGCAATGGCGCCGTCGACACAGGCCTCTGGAGTCTCAAACACCTTTGCAACCAGACCCCATTCGCTCGCTTGCTGTGCAGTAATGTTGTCGCCCGTGAGGATAACCTCCATGGCTCGGGACTTGCCAATCGCCTTGGTCAGGCGCTGTGATCCGCCTGCACCGGGTATGACGCCCAGCTTGATCTCTGGCTGTCCAAACATTGCCTTGGGCCCTGCGTACATGATGTCCCCCATCATGGCAAGCTCGCAGCCTCCGCCTAGCGCATAGCCATTGACAGCTGTAATGAGCGGCTTCTTGAGAAAGGTGACGAGGTCCGACCAGCACTCTATAAAGTCTTTTCCGTATGCGTCGCTAAAACCAAGGTCCTTCATCTCCTTGATGTCGGCACCGGCTGCAAACGCCTTTTCCGACCCAGTGAGGACAATGGCGCCAATTGACGGCGTGCTCTGAAAGTCGCGCAGAGCCTGGTTGAGCTCGAGGATCAGAGGGGTGCAGAGGGCATTGAGCGCCTTCGGTCGGTTGAGCTGAACTGGATGCGGTTAGCAAGCATGGTTGGAAGCTGGCCTGCAATGACACGAATCCAAAGGCATTCCGACTTACCCAAACCAACACCCTCCTTGGGCGTCGAAACAAGCACATGCTCGTACGACTTGGTGGCATATCCCCTCACCAGCCTGGGCAAGCCGACAGAGCGGAATTGCGAGGCGACTCTGGGCGCGGATCGGAATGCCTGCATCTTGTGTGATCAATTGAGCTTCTCACGTCAAGCCCAGCTCTCGTGTGCTTGATTTGCTTTGGAACGAGTGCATCGAAAGACGAGGGAGGTTATAGCTGGCGGTGCAATGGGTAGCATCGGTCACCTCGGTAAACGCCGCCCGTCCCGTCTGCCGTCGCTGCGAAGCTGCCTATTACGCAACCAGGCTGCTTTGGGCCTAGCGCAAACTCCAACTGTTGCCGCTGCCTCCCAAGCCGCAGCCTTGCGCGGGCTCACTATTTTGACACGACTCAACAAGCCCCCGTGTATATCCACGCCACTCCCACCCATCCGTCGCAGCGCCCGTGTCATCTGTTCAGGATATACACCATCTCGCACGCCCAGAAGAGACGCAGCCATGGACGCCCCTGAGCCCGATACTCCCTTCTCTGCCGTAACCGCGCAAACGACAAAGTATGGACGGGTATGTCATCCTCCCCAATATGCATCGCGCAGTCTGCTGGAAGTTGGAGGAGACGGGCATGGCGCGAGAGATGAATATGCATCGGTTGAAAACGCGCCCCTGCTAATGCGCCGCGCAGATGTTCCAGGCATATCTCGACAAGTCGACACCATTCACCACATACCGGTGGGCAGGAACAGGCTTCCTTTTCCTCATGTTTGGCCTGCGCATATTCGTGGCCCAAGGATGGTACATTGGTATGTCTACACCGCTGCAAACACTTTAACCCAAAAATCGCCTGCGATTCACCATGACTAAACACCCCACTAACCACCCGCAGTCGCCTACTCGCTCGGCATCTACCTCCTGAACCTCTTTCTCGCGTTCCTCTCGCCCAAATTCGACCCCGCGCTCGAACAAGATGAAGGCATGGAAGACGGCAACGCCTCGGGCCTGCCCACCAAAGAAGACCAAGAGTTCCGCCCGTTCGTCCGCAGGCTGCCCGAGTTCAAATTTTGGTACTCGACCACCAAGGCGATTGCCATTGGCTTCTTTTGCAGCTGGTTTGAGATTTTCAACCTGCCTGTTTTCTGGCCCGTTTTGGTCGTGTACTGGTTGATTCTGTTTGGCCTGACGAGTAGGTTTGCTCTTATATTTTGTGGGTATTACAATGGTGATTAACTTGATGACAGTGCGCCGACAAATTCAGCACATGATCAAGTACCGCTACGTCCCCTTTACCGTCGGAAAGACTCGCTACTCGCCCGCCCACTAGCAAGCCTCCGGCTCACTGCGCGCTTCGATTTCAGAAGTACTTTGGGAGGAGTTTGCATTTAGCAGCTTGCATCTTGGACACGGGCGCTTTTCCTTTTGGGCCGCGATAGACTTGAAAGCCGCGATTTTGGCGAGAATAATATTGCTAGTGATTTGACTAGGAACGGGGTAGTTGACACGATAATGGCTTGGATGCGACATGATGCTGTATACGTAGTTGGGAATAGCGGGGTACAGCTCTCAAATATGCTCAAAGATGCTCAAACATATTGGCTCAAAGTAGTGCGCTAGTGTTGCAAGTAAACAACTGCCAACCCTTGCTTGCCAATGCATGTGATATAAAGCGCTGCATTCTAGGTATCTAGCATGAAATAACAGACAGACCACCAACATGCTACGCTACGCTGCACAACTTGACCATGGAAAGGAAAAAAAAGAAAATCAAGCTGGAACATGGCCCTACTCAATCAACACGCATAGCGGGTGCCTCTAGCTTCAATTCCGCCAACGACGCCTTTCTCGACCCCGCACTCGGCCTGCCCTCGTCACTCTGGAGCTCGACTTCCTTTGTGCAGATCCACGTGGACGCATACATGTTTACGCTAGAACACCAGCACTGCATTAGCATACTGGATCTTAGGAAGCCAATTGGGGGGGGGGGATAAAGAAGGGAATACAAAAAAATGGAAAAGAGAAGAGAAGAGAAGAGAAGATAAGAGAAGAGAAGATAAGAGAAGAGAAGATAAGAGAAGAGAAGAGAGGAAACATACCGATCAATACACGTGCCCGGCAATCTCACAGCAACACGTTTAACGGCAAACCCACAGTCGGCAAAACACTTGATGTACCACGGTTCCAAGCCCGCACTACGCAGCATTACTCTCCCTCTCACACGGAGCGCGCGATTCAGAGCGCGGATCTGGCGCAGCGCCTGGTTGCCGGTTGGCGGAAACCAATCCATGCTATCCATGACGACGACGATGGTCAGAGTCGCGGGGCGCATGCGGGAAATGACCTCTGAGATTTCGTCCGTGTGGATGCGCAGGCCGTCAAAGGCACCGGGTTTGGAGAGCTTGAGGTGCGAGCGCGGGGACAGATATGTCGGGTGCGAGGTGGGCGTGTAGTGGCCCAGCAGCGAGAGCAGGTAGTAGTGGTTTGAGGTGCTGAGCAGCGTTGTGTTGATGACGGGCTCGAACGTGTTGAGTACGTATTCGTAGATGGCGTTGCCGCTGGCGCTCTTGAGCGCGTCGTCCGAGGGCTCCTCGTGGAACGCCATGTAATCTGTAGCAGTGTCCTTGGGCGAAGTGGCTTTTGCTTCGTCGTAGTCCTGCGTCTTTCTAAAGTCGGCTTCGATGACGGCGCGCTGTACGGGCGGCACGCCGAGCGCTTTCCAGAGCCATTTTTCGTTGCCCAGGATGGCGTAGGTGAGGATCTTGGAGTGGAGTACTGTCTTGATGCTGCGTTGCCAGATTTCACGCTGTTCGTTGAGTGTTTGCGCGGCGCAGAGGGCTTGGACGTCTGCACTCATGCCGAGGAGGCGGAAGAGCCAGCCTGCAATTGCAAGAGCGTTTCCCGAGCCGCCAGAGTAGTAAAGGCCCTTTGAAGACGGCGCCGAGAAGACAGATGGGCCGTTGTGGAACCAGAACTGGAATGCCTCTGACGAGAGATGAGGACTGAGCTTCTCGGTGAGTAGTTTGTGGAAGTCGGCATGCTTGCCTTCGCCAAACAGTTTCCAGACGTCCTGGTAGCCGAGGGCTGTAAAGGCAGCGACTTTGAGTTCCAGAAGGTGGTTTTGCGAGGGATTGAGGTCGACGGCATGCACACGCCGGCACTTTTCCAGATAAAAAGCGAGGATGTTGTCGCCGGCGGAGCCAATGGCGAGCACAACATCATTAGATGTGGGCTTCAACAATCGCATATCAGCCACATCATCTTCCCACGTAAAGGCGTAGATGTACGAGTTATTGAAGCGAGTATGCTTTGGAAGGCTCGAGTCGTAGTGGATGCGCCAGTGATGGTTTTGGTACCACGACGATGGCAGAGGCAGGCTGGATTGCAGGTTGACGACTGCAGATTCATACGCCTTGGAGTGAACTTCCACATCGTCCTGTGAGACTCTTGTTTGGAGGTCGAGAGCGTTCAGGTATGGCGATTCGGTGGCGGCTGCGTCAATCTTGGCCAGCTTTTGTGTCGAAGCGCCATGGTCCTTTGAGCATCCCACCCAGATGTAGTAGGGCAGCTTGATACCGGTGTTGAAGAAGTTGTTTCGGGCATTGATGCTGAGAACAGTGCCGAATCGGTACTCGAGGTAATCTCGGCGTGCCGGAGACAGGTTTACGCGGTCGATGGCAAACCATTCCCTCCAGAATACACGTGAAATCCACATGCAATGACGGTCGATGACACCGCCCATGTAGTTCCTGCCCATAAAGTCGACTTGGTTCTGGACGTAAAAGTCAACCACTCCAACAATGCCGTTGGGGCTCATGAGACTGTCGACCGAATCGATGACGGGGTAGAATTCAGGGATCATGCTCAGGGAGTAGCTCATGGTAACAAGCTCAGCACCTCCAGCATCGGCATTCTCGTCAAGATCCCGGATAGTCTGACCTTGAGACACCATCTCCTTTTGTCGGTGCGCCTGGGGTTCATGTTCGTGGAGACGGAATGCACGTGCATCCTGGCAGATGACCTTGACGTTTGTCCATCCTAGGCGGGCGAAGCGCTTGCGAGCCATTTCGCAAAGGCTCGGGGAGAGATCCACAACGTCTGGGACGGTCAGTATGTACTAGTCACAAGGTGGAACAACTTACAAACTGAACTGAAGAAGCTTGCCACAGGAACGTAAGCGTTCATTTGCTCGACACTGCAAATTTGTCAGAATGCGCACGTAAAGTGGCAGTGTTTACGTACTTGTACCCAGTTCCGCCACCAATCTATCGCTGTTAGTATTGCAACAGGTTCTACTTTGTGTATGCACCTACATCGACCCAGACCGGGCGTTGTGAGATCAAGCCGGCTTCACTGCGGTGCTTGAGCTGCGCAGCAACGAGTCCCAGCATATCCTCGCGGCCGCGTAGGAGCTTGGTGCGGGTAGCATCGTAGACTTCGGCCTGTGCCTTGTAGAAGCTCTCCTATTCTCGATCAGTCATGGCATTTCTATGAATTGTTCACATACAAGAGCGTCTTGCTGGCTGCCGGACCCGTCACCGGTGTGAGGCTTCAAGAAGCAACCATAGATGAACTTGAGATATGCATCGATGGTGCTCGGCGCATGTCCCTTGCTCTTGGGCCTGAGTGCAATGGCAAACACGGCGGCGAGAAATAGCCCCACGATGCACAGAGTGGCCACGAGCTGGTGGAAAGGGTTGCGAGGAACGAAAGCTGAAAGTTGCAGCATGGCTGCGACTGAGCAACAAAGCAGACGGAGAACAAAATATTATGCAGTCTAGCAAAACACCCCGCCATGGAGGGGTTATATGAGAGGCGTTCCGAAGCATGATTCCGACTTGTGTTCGTCACAATACTGGAGACCCCGAGAACTGTTCCAGGTGTGGTAAACCGCAAGAGGCGGCTATGCAGGGTCTAGCGGTACGGCATGATTGTCGAGATCTCAAGGGCGTAAGGCGTCGGTGGGCCTATCATGTCGGGCGGTTGTTGCGCGTGGGTGCAGCATGCGTGCAGCGTGCCTGGTGTTGAGGTTGGATAGTGTGGAGGCGGCAGCCAATCAGAGGCGGCGACCAAGGGCGTGCTAGAATCACTGATGGAAATGCAGGAACGTGGTCAATTCTCCAGCGCCCGAGCAGAGCGCGAAAACCATCGGCCCTGTTTCCCTGGGTCCAAGTCTGGCTTATCTAGCTCTTGACGATCCGGAGCATGTCGGCAACGCCACCTTTGTTATGACTGGCGTTGAAGCCAACTGCCGGAGGCGTCGTTGATGTAAAGGAGAGTAATTGAGAGTGAGGTGCCTACATGTCTGGCCGCGTGGTAAGCGCCACTTGCAGTGCGAATACAATAGCACTGTATCGTATTCATGAGATAACCGATTCATTCGTAATCGTCATTTCGGCTATGGTACCTGGTCAAGGTCTAAGTATTATTACAAGCCGGCATGAGAGCACACGCATGCAAGCCGCCATCCAACTTCTCCTTAGGCATAGAAGTTGACCGTGTCCTTCTTCTTGGCCTGCACTTCAGCAATCGCGTCCACATAGTGCTCGTGGCTGATCTTTTGGTGGCCCGTCCGAAGCGCAATCATACCAGCCTCGACGCACACAGCCTTCAGTTGAGCCCCACCAAACTCGTCAGTACTGCGTGCCAACTCTTGCCAGTTGACACCGTCATCCACAGTCATTTTCCTTGAATGAATGCGCATGATCTGTGCGCGCGCCTCCTCGTTTGGCAGCGGGAACTCGATCTTCCTGTCCAGACGTCCCGAACGGAGCAGCGCGGGGTCCAGCACATCGACTCGGTTAGTGGCCGCCAGCACCTTGACACGGTCATCCGACGCGAAACCATCCAGCTGGTTGAGCAGCTCCAACATGGTTCGTTGCACCTCCCTGTCTCCAGACTTTTCCGAATCGAACCGCTTGGTGCCGACCGCGTCCAACTCGTCGATGAAGATGATTGAAGGCGCCTTTTCTTTTGCGAGAGCAAAGCAGTCACGCACCAGCTTTGCACCGTCACCAATGAACATCTGCACGAGCTGCGGGCCGGCAAGCTTGAGGAACGTGGCGTCGGTTTGCGCCGCGCAGGCTCGTGCCAGAAGCGTCTTTCCTGTACCCGGCGGGCCGTACATCAATGCACCTGTGCTAGTTAGCCATGATGCTCAAGCAGCGGCGCGCTGTCCTTACCCTTTGGAGCCTTGATGCCAATCTTCTTGAACCGCTCAGCCTCCTTCATCGGCCAGACCACTGCCTCTACGAGCTCCTCAATCTGCTTGTCCAGACCTCCGACGTCGGTGTATTTCTCCGTCGGCTTCTCATCAACCTCCATGGCCTTGACTCTGCTGTCGTACTCTGCAGGCAGTGTGTCCAGGACCAGGTATGAATCCTTATTCACACCAATCAGGTCGCCGGGCTTGAGCTTCTCGTGGTCCACCAGCCCGATGAGGGGCAGGAATATCGTCTGCCGCGTCGACGTCTTGATGACGGCCGACTTGCCGACGCGGGTGGCGTCCAGGTCGATGTTTGCCCCTTCCTCAGCCGCCTCGGCCGTCACGTCCAGGTCGAGGATTTCGACCACGTTTCCGACGAGATAGGGCAGTTGCCTGGACAGTGTCAGTATGCTGGACAGATTGCGTTGTGTCGCCGCGCTGCGGGGCCGACGACCGGCACCGAGACGACATACCTGTTGTTCTCAATCTTGTCCAAGTTGTCCTTGATCTTCTCGTTCATCGACGCCTTCTCGTGTGTGAGCCGCTGGAACTCGCTCTTCATGATGCGCATGTCGTTCTCCAGTAACCGCCTCCGCGCGATGATGTCTCGTGTGCTTGAGTTGAGAATCTCCTCGTCGAGCTGCTCCTCCTCGGGCTCCGCATCCTTCATGTCCGCGTCGCCATCGGCCTTCTTTCCGCCCTTGTCCCCGTCCTTGTTGTCGTCGTCCTTTCTCTCCTCCTTCTCGTGGCGCTCGAGATCGTCGAGATCTTCGAGTGTAGACATTGTGACGGTGTGGCGTGAGTGATTGTGTGCAACAGGCAGCTGATGGAGATGAGCCGGACAGTATCACAGCGATTGTTAGTGATGTCCGCGGTCGAGAGGCTGGTGATAGTGCGGCGTTGATGGGGCGCTGGCTAGAGGCAGCTATGGATTACGAAGGTGCACAGAGCTCCCGCGATTACTTAGCTCCGCTCCGACTCTTGGCGCTCTGTACTAGACCGCCGATCAGCCGCCCTCACCACTCTTCAACATATGGCCTAAGATGGATCAACGGACACCAATCTAAGGATGCTTTTCAATGGCCGGAATGTGAGACGGCGCGATTACACCCTGATCAATTTTGTGCTTGCCAGAGGCGAACATTCATGGCCGTGATGATCAGCTACTCCATTTCCCACAACCATGAACAAAGCAAACTTGTTGTTTCGCCCAACTATTCGACTACGAAGCTGCCACATACCGAACGCGCGACGTGCTGAAAGTCGAGCTTTCAAACCCTGTGTGTGGTTGTCCACCCGAACCATGGCAGGCTCTAGTATGCCTTGCACTATCCCCATCGGCCATGTCGAGAATCTCTCCATGGAGGAGACTGTCGAAGAAGAAGGAAGTCCTCATTACAAAGCAGAGAAGTTCTATCCAGTGCGACTGGGTGAAGTCTTCGAGTCCCGTTACAAGGTTGTCGCCAAGCTTGGGTTTGGTACGGCCTCCACCATTTGGCTTTGTCGTGATCTTGTGTAGGTGATCTTGAAAGTGCAACCTTCTCCCCTAGAAAGCTCTATTTGGCCCTGTATTGACGATTCCTCGTGTCCACTAGGGTAGACCAGCTTCTAGCGCTTAAGGTCTGTATCACGCAAAAAGGTACCCTCAAGTTAAACAGTGAAATGGCCATCTCCCAGCATCTCAAACCCATCGAGGCTGAGCACCCAGGCAAGGATCTCTTACGTCTAGTGCTGGATGACTTTCAGATAGCCGGTCCCCATGGAATGCATCAATGCTTGCTCTTCACCCCTCTAGGCATGAGCTACACGAACTTTCGGAATATGTTTCCAACTAGAACGCTCAGCAAGCAGTTACTGCAGGAATCGTTGCTATTGATCCTGCTTGGTCTCGATTTTCTACACCAGGCGGGCGTAGTGCATACAGGTATTCCGAATGCGTGGTATATCGGACTTGCCAGCTAAGAACGATTAGACATATCTCCAAACAACATCCTTCTCGGCGTCTCTGACCCAACCGTGTTTTCCGACATCGAGGAATCTGAGCGCCAAAATCCGGCTCCTCGCAAAAATCTGCCCGGTCGGACTATATATCGTTCACATGTCGTACCCACCACGTACGGGCCATTGATGATTTGCGACTTTGGTGCAGCCAGAATAGGGGAGAAGTATACCGGAGATGTCATGCCGGGCGTGTATCGAGCCCCTGAGATCATTCTTGGTATGGAATGGGACTCCAAGATTGATATTTGGTCTGTTGGAGTCATGGTTTGTGATTCGGTATTCTTGCCATGCTCTTCCATGCTAATATGATACAGATCTGGGATTTATTTGAAGGAAATAGTTTGTTCCACGCCATCAAGAACGGTCGTCTCAATGATGAGTTGCATCTTGCTGAGATGGTTTCGCTCATGGGGCCTCCGCCCAAGGCCTTCTTAGAACGAAGCGAGGCTAGCCGTCGGTACTGGGATGCCGAAGGTATAATTACGCCACAGCCAGTGGAATGCGACTTGCTAATTTAAGAGAACAGGCAACTGGATTGCCTCCACTCCAATTCCCCAGCAAGCACTCGAGATGCGTGAGCAATGGCTCCAAGGCAAGGAGCAGGAGCAACTTCTTGCGCTTGTTCGAAGAATCCTACGTTGGCTTCCAGAAGAAAGGCCATCAGCCGAGGACCTTTTCGAAGATGCATTCTTTCAGAGTGTGTATTTGTCTTTGCGCTCCAGAAATTCTTAATACTTGGAATTGCATACAAATGTTTACGCGGCACTTGCAAGAGATGTAAACTGTGGGCTTTGTTTGAAGAGTCTCCATGTTCGCAGTCTGGAGAAATGTCAGCAGTTATCACCATATTGGACCCGCTGTGCCTGACACTGGCTATATAATTGCACGATCCATATTCTGCACTTAACAATCAAGGCGTAGAATTAGATGGCTGGGCCCTACGGCTGCTATGTTGTAAAGCAGATCTATTCCAACGAGCTCTTCCTATCAACATCTGCCACACTAACATTCACCATCACCAGGTACGCCGGCGTGCCACGTCTGCTTAAGCGGTAGGTTGCCAAGTCAAAATATTAGTGCACCGAAAAACATTGATTGAATCTTAATACATGGAATCAATTTGCAGTCGTCATTGCCAACCAGAGATGAAGCTATAGTAGTCGTTGCGGTTCCGACCGCCTGCGAGTAAGCACAACATGCAGTCGTGAAAGACACCGACCACATTCGCGGCATCTAGAGCAATTTCTAGACGCGAAAAAGAAGAAGAAAACACTACTCGCGGGTAAAGGTAACATGCAGCCGAGGTTGGCCGGTGATCTGGCAGAGTGTAGCCAAGGCTTCAGATTTTGCTTGTTCGATGCTCTTTTCCTGGTCTCGCTTCATACGACGTGACATCTGGTTGCTGTGTTCTCTTGGTGAGGTAGGGCACTTGATCTTGACCTCGACACTGGAAAGATTCTTGAAAGACAAGAGGCTCTTGTAAGTTCTCCGGTCGATTTCGCCTTGTTCGGCCTCGATGGTGACATGTTGTATCAACTCGATTGATGTGTATTGATCTGATCTTGGTATCTTGAGAACCGACGTGGGTTCTATCCTTGTATCTGCACCTACGGTCGCAGCTTGTTCTGGTGAAGGGTTGCGTAGTAGTCTCTGTTCGATGCCTTGATTTTTACGCCAAGCTTCTTGTTCCAGTTGCCAATCCGCGTAGGAATGTGCCATCCTTTGGTTGTATCGCTTGGCACGGTCTATCATCAACGCTACTCGTTCATGTTGTGGGGGCTGCAGACCATGCGGCATTGGAATGAGTCCTTGCTGGATATCTAGTAGTGTGGCTTTTAGTCTGTCTGCATCTGACTGCTCAGGCTCGGCGTGAGGTACTGGGAGCTGCTCTTGCGTGGGCTGGGGTATTGTGACTTGTTTACCCCACACCGTAGCGTACCCATCAGGGTTCTTGTACAAGACGACTAGCTCTGCACCTTTGTCGGTGATCTTTCGTAATAGTTGTCCAATCTTCTTCACCAGATAGCCTCTTTTGCTGACCTCGGCGCCTGTCATGGTTGGGTCGCGGGTGATGCACATCTCCACGCGCCGAAGATCGCACAGACACTCGAGGTCACTGATGTACTCAAAAGTTTCTGGCCATTTCTGGGGATTGTGTATCGTAATCGTGTGGAAGATCTGTCTGTGTAGGTCTTGTATCGACGTCCAATGGACAATCGCCTTGACATGTGCCTGGCCGCTAATGAATCCGAAGACACAAAGGCGGAAGTAGATGTAGCGCGCTTCGTTATAGGTCTGGCGACAGAGCACGAAAACGCGCGGGAGTTGGTGCTCGATCAGTTGCGGGTACAGACTGGTGTCTTGGGGGTTTGGGATTCTTGTAACATAGTTGAAAACATGTTCTCCTTCGGCGCGCTGGGTGATCTGGATGCTTTGATCGCCGACGAGATATGCGTAGATTCTGTTTCGAATGGCAACGTCCATTTCGAGAAAGTGAGAACGTCTGCTGTTGCCCAGATCAGTACAAGCGATACGCAAACATGTGGCAGCTTACATTGGAGCCGTGGCGGCCTGATTCATGCTCTGTGATGGTAGCGGGAAGCTCTGGTAGTACTGGTAGTGCTCTTGTTGCGCCGATGGGGATAACTGGTGCATCAGAGGTCCTGTGTTGTTGTAGTACCCTTGCGTATTCTCCGCAGTTGGAGTCTGGTGCCAATGCGGGTTTGGAGCCGCATAGGCCTGTTCTTGTGGGAAGGCGTCCATGTCATTCTGGGAGACTTGGACGCTCTGGTTGGGGTTGTGATGATGCCCGAAGGCGGGTGGAACGGTGTAGTAGTTGCGTGGATCGATCTGTCACACAGTCAGTAGAGCAGCACGAGAACGGGGCGGGTGGCTTACGATGGGCAACTGGCCGACAACGAAGCAGAAATTGCATCGAGTTTGTGGGATATATTGAGCGGCTGCAGTCTGTGCGCGTAGCGGCTCACGTTCACCTGGCATTCACTATCATCCCCAGCAGACAGTGAGCGCGTGTCTTTGCCGCATCTGCAGGCGGCAAACACTCTCCACCAATTATATGCGAGGTTTGAAGCAAATCTAGTTAGCTGTGTACAGAACTAACCGTCACTGAGGTAATCCAGGCATGTTCCATCGCCAAGCAAACTCGCAGTGTGCCACAGGAACCAAGGACAAAGTTGTGTTGGCGGTTGAGCCCAACTATCTCGAAAGCTAGTCGGGTATGTAAGTCAAATCCTGATGGAAAGCAGACAGCGATGTCGAAGGCTTCACTAGCGTTGAGCAAGTGGTGGTGGCCGCCCTGGATGTCCTAACCGTAATTGTCACAAGCCTTTCTCGACTGCCCTGACTAGAGGCTCTATCATTCCAACAGAAATATCGACTATAATCTCAACTGCGATATCAAATCGTTCGATTTGCCCCGCTTTTTGCAACTGTTCTCATCTTCATCTTGAAAAGTTCCGAAGTGGAGTCAGGTTGGCGTGTGCGGCTGCCTGGCAAAGTCTCACAGTCACCAACGACCACTACCACACCTCACTGGTACTCGCAGCCGCTCTCAATCTGTTTACTCTACACATTACACTCCAAATTTCCTTGAATAACATTTTATCCACTTCTTCATCGTCAAGATGAACATGACTTTCCCCGCTGCCATCACTTTCCAATTCTCGGAAGAGGTAGAGACTTTGTCCGAGTCTTTCAAGCTCAGTAACTATGATGTCAACCCACCCGAAGTGCTCCTCAGCAAGAGCGACCTGGAAAAGTACCAGGAAATGCTCAAAGGCAAAGTTAAAGCTGCTGAGGGCAACAGCGACAGCACGGTCACTTCCACCACCACCACCGAACTATATCAGCCCTCCGATAGCGATGTCTTCACCAAGGCACACTATATCGTCAACGTCGAGCTTGGGCTGTCCGGAGGTATGACGAAGACCAACCTCGAGATCCTTCGCAATCACATGCGCACCAAGATGCACTGGGACATCAGCAAAGCTCGTATCAAGAAGTTTGCTTGCGACTGAACAGCATTTCATCACTCTGGGAAGCATCCCCGTTGACGTCGTCGATCTGGCCTTCCTCGAAGCCAAGGATCGCGAATATCAGGAGATCCTCACCCTCGCCGCGCCCACCAAGCCTGGCAAGAAGAAAGAGAAAGAAAACACGAAAAATTCGGAAGCCGAGCGCAGAACTGAGCGATTGATCAGCAAGCGTCTTCTCCCCCCGCGTTCCACTTTGCAAGCTAGGATGAGGGGTGCGAAGATTTTTGAGCAGAAGGAAGACATCAAGGCCAAGATCATCTTCCATGAAGACCCTAACGACCGATCGTTCATCCGCCTCCGCATCGCGCACCTGTACAAGGATGAAATGTACCCCAAGCAACAACCTACACATAAGTTAGACATCGAGCTCACCTATCGTAACACCCGCCCCCGCGGCCATCTTCCTCCGGACGAGGGAGACCGATACTACGGGTCGGAGCGCATTCTCGACGTCTCGGACAAAGTTTACCAATCGTACTTGCAGAAACTCTTCCCACACCTAGTAAAGCAGAACCCGAGCTATTGTGACAAGCTTTGGGCAACACTGAAGACCCATCGTCTGTACTTAATGCAGTTCCGTCAGAACGAGCTACCCATGACCACCAACTTGTTCACAGAGCGCGCGGACATGCCCGCCAAGTACCACGACCTCCAACTGGTGATGCGACGCGCTCCTATCATCTATATACTGGCCCGCGGTACTGACATCGACGCGCTCGCGAACTCAGTCATCGACCGCTTCTGTGGGCTCTCGCAATATAACCCGCTGTCAAGATTCTTCGTCAACCCACACATCAACAACAAGGGGATCATGGAGACCGCCATGCTCCCCAAGTTCAAGGCACTCCCAGAGAATGCTTTTGAGGACTGGACAGAGTTTGCGATCCGTGCTGGTGTCGCAGCGGTCATCGAGATGCGCTACGACACGGTCATGCAAATTCACAGAGGCAAGGCAGCCATACACCCGGTGCCGCACACACAGTACCGAGATGGTGAGAACGACACTGACTTGGCTCTCTACGTCAACTTCTTCGGCGATAGACCTGATGAAAACCTGCCGCGCCTTACTGTTGGTGATCAGGTTAGAGTGGACCTTCAGGATACATGCGAAGGAGTTCGATTGGTCAGCAAAGTTATGTGGAAAGGTCGAATCGTCAATCCCATCGTGTCGACTGGTTTTAGGCAAGTCTGTATGGTCGTCCGCCGACCCATGGATGGAGATGAGGTTGTCGACACCGCCAAGTATACCGACCTATCTGCGAGCGCGATGGATAAGATGAGCTCTGAAGAGCTTCACACATGGGCACAGAACAACCGCAACCGCACCATCATTGTCATCAAAGATGGGTCTGACACGGAATGCAAGCGACTGTGCAATGGCCTGAAAAACATGAAGGTCCCTCACAAGCTTCAACCCATCTTCGAAGGCAAGGAGCATATCCTCGAGCAGCTCCGCCTCCTCATGCTCTGCAAGGACCACACTCGATACGACAAGTCCTCTCTGTTCTCCACGATCCACGAAGATGACCGGGAAAAGTTCTCCACAATCATGGACCAATCGCTTCGAGACTACCAGCGCGCCCCAATCAATGCATGGCGATCCGAGGGTCTCTTCGCCAATGTCGCCGCCTTGGGAGGAGTTTCTGGATCTGGCAAGACATATACCAGCATCCACGTCCTCTGCGGGTACACTTTTCGTGTTAAGATCAACCATGCAAAGAAGAATATGCAGAACATGGACCTGGTTCTCCTGTACCATAGCCAGGTCGCCGCCGCCGCCAAGAAGGAGAAAGCCCAACAAGCTAAGGCTGAGGCCGAGGCTAAGCAAGATGATAAGCATGAAGATGAGAATTCGAAGGCAGTCATGAAATACAAGGAAGACGACACTGAGCTGGTGCCCGAAACCAACTTCGAGAACGAGGAGCCTAACGACGACAACAAATTCTTGTTGGAGTTGGTTGATGAAGCTAAACAGACTCACAGCATCCGTGAGTTCGAGGATGGACGAGCCACACATGTGAGCATCCAGAACGAGACCGTCGACCACAGCTATGAGACCTGGGTTGCGAGAATGCCTCAACTTTGCAAGGACATGAAGGCTCCCAACAAGCTGGTCATCCGCCTACACTCAGTCCAGACGGAGCACAGGGCCGTTATTGCCATGATTGACTCCAACTTCTGCAAGGAGACCAGTGATCCCAAACCCATCGAGCGCGACTCCAAGCTCACAGGCACTGTCACCCAAGCCCTGCTCGAGCACTACCTCCGCGAGATGAGCATCACCTACTCAGGCATTACTGACAAACGCCTTCGCCTGATTGAAGGCTCCCTCGCATATGTTATTTTGCAGCTCGCTCGTTTTGGCAACGTCCCTATCACTGAGGAAGTCGCAAACACCTGGACTGAAGAAGAGCGCGACAATCTTGCCGAAAAGTTGAAGCCGCTTATCAAGGCTCGGGAAGACCTCGAAAGCGAAGACCGCATCACGCGGGACAACATGCGCGACGTTGGCAGGGCTTTCCAAGTAGGCTACATTGCTGTCCTGCAGCGCGCAGCCGTGATATGCACCACTTTGGCTGTTGCGACGACAACTTCATTACAGATCTACCGCCAAGCCCATGCAGTCTGCCTCGAAGAGGCCGGGCGAGGCATAGACCTGGACGTTACCGCCTTACTGTCTACCCATTGGGCGTGCGACTTGATTATGATGGTTGGCGACCACCGACAGCTGAGCTTCTCCCCCTACGGGCCCGAAATTGACAACCCGTTTCAAGACCAACTCCCGCGTTCAACCTTCTCTAGAATGTACTATACTGGCTTCCCTATGAAGATGCTTAAACACACCTCACGCTTCACTATTCAGCCATTGCTTGATCTATGCCGTCGCCTCAACAACGATCATAGCATACAGGAAGTACCAGAGTCGTTCGATACAGAACTAGAAGCACACGCCAAGCTGGTTAACCAGCAGATATGGGGCAAGAAAAGCACTATTGTAGTAGTCGACACTCCTACTGCAGACACCCGACGTGATGCGACTGGATCGTGGTACTGTATTGACACCGCACTCGTCACGATTCACGACGTGGTCAACCGAGTTTTGCTAACCCAAGGCGGCAATGTGCTTGTCATCACGCCCTACAACGCACAGCTGCGCTTGCTGAACACGTTACGCGACGGAGCAATTCGAGATGCGAAGATGAGCGGCAAGGAGCGTCTGGCATTTGAGCTGTCCCGTGTATCAATGCTTACTGTCGACGCGTCTATGGGCAAAGACCGACACCATGTGGTGTTGGACACAGTCGGAAACGCGGACGGATTTCTCTGGCTCCAGCCGCGCATGCTCGTCGCGGGCACACGCGCACGCTCTAGCCTTGTATTTGTTGGCCCAGCATCTCACTACTCCGTATCTAAGTCAGGCATTAACCGCCACCTTATGGACTGTCTGCGAGAATGGGCGGATAACCGACTGATGGTTACGCTCGATCAAAACCAGATGAACAAGCTTGAGCAATACCCTAGCATCCAGAACGCCATGCAAATCACGCGCTATGGTATAGAGCAAGGCATCGCACTTAACTACCGTTAGGCTCCTCTAGGCGTCGGCATTTTTATTCCCAATGTTCATACGGCTGATACAACGTCCTGAGACATCGGTGGCGCTGGTGATGACGGCGACTGGACAACTGGCGGTTTCGTCGCCGATCCCAACCCTGCAGCTGATCAAAATGACGACTCTGGTCACGGCCAGTCGAACGGTGATCAAGAAGACGACATTTCTGAGTCAGACGATGCCTTGGATAACGGTAGCTACAATGATCCCGGTACATGGGGAGGCGCGGGCGCGGAAATTGACACCCACATGGTAAAGACATGGAGTTTGGGTATGAGGGACATATACGGACCGGACTTGATAGGAGGAAGTGATTTGGGCTTTTTTCATGTATACTACTATGTCTCGCGGATGAGGTAGCTTTTCAATAGAAGCATGTAGAGAGAACCGTCAATAAGTACCGCAGAGATCAACTTGGCAAACCGCACCTGCTCCGCTCGATTGTCTGCCCCCTGTCAGTATTTGATGATTCGCAGCACTCTGGGAAGATCAGAGAGGAGCCATATGTATCTCTTTCGCTTGAGTGAACAAAACAACCAGAAAAATTCAAGCTGAGCCCAACAGCAAGACGGGAGAGGTAGATGAACTGGAGCAGCGTATGTAGCAACGATTTTTTTTATTGAGAAAAAAAAGAAGCTTCTCAATGCTTTGATGTGCTGGCTCTACTATTTCTACAACGCAGGCAGCATGTCAATTTCCAAAGCACGCAATACATAGCTTCATTAGGTGATTGGAACGCAGTGGAGGCGAAATTACAGCTGACGGACGAAAAAACCTTTTTTCCCATTGGAAATGAATATGAGAATTTAGACCTTACTAAATATAGAGAGCAACGCGTACAAATAGCGTTTCGATAAGTAGTATCTGGGAGCGTGGCGGTGGTATTGGGTAACGGCCTCAACGTTCGCTTTAACCCAACACGCATGTTCAACGCATTCGTGTGGATTCATTATATACCCATATAAAGCTAACCAAAGGCATCCGTGCTCTGGCTATTGAGCGAGGGGTGTTGTTGACGTTCCATCTACACGACGCAGTGCTGGTAGTGGGTCGCTAGCAATATCCACTCACTCAGGTAGTACTGCCTGGTGTGTCGCGATTCTGCGTATGCAAAACAAGAAGAGGTGAGCGACCCCTTTCATCTCCAAGCTGGTGCGCATAGATGCACATGAGTATTGAAAAATTTGTTCAGTATACACAAACGTGGTAAATTGCAAGCATGCTAGACGTCGACGTCTCGACGTCGCGACGTCGTTAGTGCGGTGGGGGCGTGGGGGCGTGGGGGCGGCGGATCTGGGGTTGAGACCCACATATTCGGGTCGCACAGTACTGTAACTACAGTTGACAGCTTCCAGGCAACGCCTGCACACCTTCACAAACTCGTCAAATCTTCCATCATTTTCCACAAACTCGAAGCCATCAGGCGATTGAAATTACGGTACCAATATCTGGAGGCTATACGTACTGAAGCAAGAGGTCACAATGGTGGGGGGGCGCTTCGGCATCTGCATATGCGCGTTCAGCACGTCAACGCTGGCGGAAACATTGCCAGTAACCCAAGCTGCGCTGACAACGGCAATGAAGGTTCGGATCGAATATATATGTAGCAGCAGTCCATGATGTGCTGTACCTCTCTCTCTTCGTACTCTTCTTCATGGCCGTCTTCTCCATCCTTGATGAAGTCTTCCCATGTTGTTCTCCGACTATCGTTATACTCGATTTGCGATTTCCCGATTGTATAGTTTTCTTCGTATTGATCCAAGCAGCCCTTAGATCCTTTTTTTTTGCTGGACTTTGAGTATAAAGCCGTTTCCACTGGCTCTGGCTGCTTATATATACACCAACGACGGATCACGGTCAGTGGATTCCGCGTTCCTCGGCCAAGGTGTGTGGAATCCGAAACATTCCAAAGCCGAAACATTCTAAAGTTTGGGTCTAGGAGTAGACATGGTCTTTGTGCTTGTCAGACTTTAGTAGAGTGTGTAGCTGGAGGGCTCGGCGTTCAGTCTCAGGTCCACGGACGTTGTGGCAGCCGGGAGATGGGAAGCATATATCGAAGGAGTAATAACATGCTTTCCTCTGCAGAAGAACCGCAGTGCACATCTCAAGGCATTGTCTAGTTGTGCTGTATACCGGTGGGACCTGTCCTATTGGCTAGAAGGTGTAGGCTGAGATGGGTTCGAGACGACGCAAAGTCCCGGTGGATCATGAAGCTTTTGCCTCTAAGTATAGGCCAGTCGAGTCCCAGTTTGGTCAATGTGCGCTGTAAGCTCGCACACAAACTCCTGAAAAACGTCGTGCGGATATATATGTCCTCGTCCTCGCTGCGATGGCAGAGAAACCCCAGACAACTCCTAGTACGCCTCTGTCGACCATATACCCCTGAATGAGGAACAAAGAGTGGAGAATGGCGTAGGCATATCCTCATGTGGCTTGACATCTGCGGCGTGTATATAAAAGCGCCGCATTGCAGTTGAACCACTCAGCAACTGCCTTGCAGCCTTGCAGGCGCCAAGTCCGAGTTTGCCGATGTTGGTTTCGGCGCGGCCAGCGTGATCACACCCTGCATGTTCTTCTGTTTGCAATGCATGGTATATAGTCGCGAGTTGTTGAGTTGCAGTTTAGATAGGAGATTGTGAAGCTTTGGCAGTAGTTGAGAGTATATATCGATGGAAATATATGCACTGGCTATTGGCGTAAGTGCTAGCCGTGCAGGAAAGGTATATTCGGCGTGGAAGAGGAAGAAGATGAATAGGATGGAGGCGAAGGCAGATCAACTTCCCAGCACATAACCACGTTTTATATACCCCGTCTCATCTCGTCCCCTCTCCAAACAAACCCAGAATCTCAAGCAGTTTGCTAAAAACAAGCACCGTGGAACATCGCCTTCACCATCCCCGTTTGCTCCACGCTAACGTACGTTTCCGCAACCAACCCCTCACATCACATGCGCATCCGACATGTCTTTTATCTGCCTTGCCATGTTTTGCCCCCGCTTTGACTTTTGCGATTGCTTCTCCAACATCTCACACACTCTGTTGCGTATATTTGTTTGCGAGAGACAAAGGCAGCGGGTAGATGTCGCCATCATCCACCACCCAGCATCCAACACTAGTAACCCCACCACATATCCATTATTCACGTTCAAACTGCATAAGTATATCATCCGAGTGAAATTCCCGCGTTAGTTCAAGACAAGACAAGACAAGACAAGGCAAGACAAAGGCTCCTGTTCGGGAACCGCAACACCAAATCCAAATCCAAATAAAAAAAAACAGCTGTACTTAGTTATGTCTCATAGCTACATACCAACCAAGTCCATTTACCACACACTCTTCCCCAACCCCCCCCCCCCAAACTCCCCTACGCAGACCGCAGAGTGGAAAAAAAATCAGACCAAGTATCCGCTCTAACCATGCAACACCAAGGATTCCTCAATACACGTTAGAGTAACTTCACCCATCTTCCTTCTCCCTTCCCATCTCACTTCACACGTAACCCAGACCACTCACAAAACAGGCCTTGTGAAAAAAAATATAACATTAAAAAAACTACCTCATCATGTGTGTCCTTTTTGCATTTGCAAAAATATATAACTCAGCTGTTGAAGCGCCCATGCTCACATAGATACATTACCTCCCCCCGGGACCCAAGTTGAAAAGCTCAAGTCAAGGGCATCAATCCATCGTATTAAAAAAAAAGAAAGCCCATATGTACCCCTATCGATAACCAATTCGGACGGGAGCTCTACTTACTTTTTTTTCCAAGTGTTCATCTATACATAGGTAAATTGAACCACACACACACACACACAAAAAGAGGTCCGTCAAGCACACACACACATAGGACATGAGCTCAGGACAAACCACCGAAATTTTTCAAGAAAGCAAAAAAAAGAAAGAAAAAGATTCAAGCACCAACAAGAGTACTCGAACTCGGTCTCCCACCCCCCGACGACGACGACGGCGACGACGAGGCGCCGACAAAACTCTCTCTCCTCCCCCAGTTTCTTGGCTGCCTCTTCAGAAACGCGCCTACAGCACCGAGATAACCCTCGTGACGCAGGAAATATGCTTGGCGAGTATCCTTTGACCAGAAGCGGATGGCGTAGGACAGAGTGTTCATAGTCTGGGAGTGGCCGCCGATGAAGGAGCCGCCAAAGTATATGCGGGGAAGGCCGTGTTTTTCGGCATGGAGATGGGCAATTTGGCCAATGTTGTTGGAGACGGCGTAGAGAAGGGAGCGGGCCATGTCTTCTGGGCGGAAGGAGCCTTGGTTGTGGGGGAGTTCGGCCGAGCCCTGGACGTGTTCTGCTTCTTCGCGGCGCTTGAGGTCGCCGTTGCAGCCGTCTTCGGCCTCGCGCTCGGCGGCGCGCTTCATCTTGTAGACTTTGCCAAACGACGAGGCAATGTGCGTGCTCTTGAGGCCAATCTTGTTGTAGGCTTGGCCGTAGATGTCGCCGACAAGCAGGTCCACCGACGAGTTGTCGCCGTTTTCGGCGAGCCGCAGCATGTCGTCGAAGCTGCGGGCGCCTGTGAGCAGCGACAAAAGACCCCAGAGTGTACCGCCTCCGAGCGATGTACCGCCTATGCGCTCAAACTGCCGCGGCCCCGAGACCTTGATCATGGAGACTCCGGAACCAATGTTAACAAGGAGGTAGGGGTAAATGTTGGGCGGGTCGGGTGGATGTGGCATAAAGGTCATGGGGCTGTCTTCGCTATATGTAAATACCTCGTTGGGTATCTCGTTGATGAAGAAATCGAGGCCTGCACAGTCACCCGTTAGCGACCATCAGGTAGTGTGCGCACGACGGCGCAAGCATACCTATGATCAAGCACTCCATTTCGTCTTCTCGTATAACCTCAACATCAAGAGCCTGTGTGATTTTGTCATGGTACTTGAAGGCGCCGCCGCCCGTGGCCATGATGCACAGGTCGGGCGACTTGGAACCGTTGTCGTGCTTCTGGTCGGCCTGCAGCTTGCGCATAAACTCTATACACGCGTCGATGCGGTCCGTCTCAAACTTGAAAAAGTTCAGACGGCCGCCGGCGGCATCGTCGCCGGGCTCGCGCGAAAAGTAGACGAGCTTGGCCAGGGAGCCGCCAATCTGGGGCGCGCAACGTGTGTTAGCATAGGGCTGCTCCGGAGGCTGCAGGAACACTCACATCGACGGCAACATGGCTCACGACGGACGTGTGGTTGGGCAGGCGGATGTCGTGGGGATCGTGCTCGTAGTCGTCGCTCTGGGGGGTGTCGGGCTGCGAGTCGTCGACGATGAAGGCGCCCTGGACGTTGATGCGCACGCTGCCCGGGTGCTGGATCGTGTCCTCGATGTCGCTCTGGGCCGTGGTGCGGCGCGGGCGTCCCGGCTCCGAGGGCGACGACGTCTCTATGGGCTGGTGGTGGGCACGCGACGCCTTGGGCCCGACTTCGCCCGTCGCGGGGTGCAGTGCGGGCGACATGGATGCGGATGCGCTGGGCCTTGGCTGCAGCTTTGCTCTCTTGCAGCGGCGGCGCGCGCTCAGACGTCGGCGGCTGGCGATGAGGTCGTGAGGGGTGGATGGCTTTGCGAGAGGAAATGTCGGCACTAGAGGCGCTGCAGATAGCGATGGACGCTCCATTTGTCCGCCTTGTATCGGTGCTTATTGCTGGGGCAAGACGTGATATGAAGTTCTGCGCAGAATAGAGCCCAAGGAGCTCCGTCGATTCTCAGCCCTCGCTGCTGCTGCTCTGCTGCTGCTGCCGCCACCGCGACGGGGCGCCCGTGGGCGGCATATATCTTCTCTGGCCATGCTGCATCCGGTGAAACGGGTCTCGGGGCGTTTACAAAACGTTTCCAATGCCGAGAGGGAGTGGGGGAGTGCTAAGCTCGGCAACCGGTCACCAACAAGATGGCGAACATCCGAGGGGCCGGCTGGAGAGGCGCTGCAGCCCGTGCAACGACTGCCGTCTCATCTCCTCGCCCTTATCACGATCGGCGGGCGGGTGGCGTTGGGTCTATGTCGGTGATAGTGGTGGCTTGATTCAGCATGTGGTAGAGAGACGTCTGGGGTTGCGGGTGCTCTGCTCTGCCAGGGCGGAGAGCACGTGCTGCACAGGCAGGTACGCCGGCTCCCAGGCAGAAACACGCGATACTCGAGGACGTCATGACAACGGCTGCATGGCTGCTGGAGAATGCGCACAATGCCAGCCTTCACCCTCACCGTCGCCTCCGAGGCACCGCTTGCCCCTGCATCCTTAGCTATGGGCGCCGATGACGTCGTGCACCCGTACCTCGAAGCTCTCGACGCTCATCGCCTCCGCCCGGCCGCAATTGTCGAGATACCTGCCATTCACTGCATTCAATAACCATCATCCGCTATCCCTGCCCCATTCCAGACCCCTCAAAACCACAACCATGTCGTGGATGGACTCGTGGTCGCGTCCCAGCAAGCACGCCGTGACACCACCACCCCTCTACCTCACAGCCGGCGACGCAGTGCCCTACTGCCACAGCTGCGGGCGCGTCATCGGCGACCGCCGCAAGACGCAAAAGGCCCCCGAAGTCAAGTACTGCTCAGCACGCTGCCGCAACAGCAAGCCCGGCCCCCTGGACCGCAAGATCGAAGCCACCTTTGCCGCTCTGCTGGCCGGCGCCCCCATCGACTCTCTCAAGGAAAACGCCGGCGCAGAGCCTGCGGGTGGCGCTGCAAAAGACGATCATAATGACCATGGAAAGACGAAAAAGAGCGAGAAAAAACACAAAAAGAAGACGCAAAAGGGCGACCACCGCATCATCGTCGAATGCAGCACCGTCGAGGACATCGTCTTTGGCCGCGAAAAAGACCCAGAAAAGGTGTACGGGCGCCGCAAGAACCGCAGACCGCGCTTTGTAGTCGAGAAGCCCGAGGATTGGCGCAGCGTAGACATGGTCGATGACGCTGCCCAAGCTGCGACTACATCACAGCAACAACAACATCATCCCCCGCCGCCAGACCTCACCAGCGACGACGACTCCATCTCCGACTCAGACGGCGAGGCCGACGGCGGAATCGCCCTGGAATCTACTCCTCCTCCGCTTGCCGAAGACATGGACGCGCATGCCCTGCCCGACACAGTCGAGTACGGCTACGGCTCAGGCAAGATCCGGCCGCCCCAAGCCCAAAACGACGTCAATGGATCCGTAGGCGGCGAAAAGGGCTGGGCCGAACGCATCCAGGAGACAGACGAAATGAAGCTGAAGCGGCGCGAGGGCCAGCGCAAAGCAGATGAACGAGAAATGGTGCGTAGAGCAGCAAGACGCGGCTGCGCATTTGGATTTAGCGTCCCGGATGAGCCTGAGAAGAGGAAATGCGAGGCTGTCATGAAGAGCGCCGTGGTGGAAGCCAGCTTTGCAAAGGGCGAGTGGGGCGTTAGATGGAGAGAGCGCATATAACTAATCACATAACATGTAACGTACTACACCAGTGAGGCGGCCAAACCAGTGAGGCGGCCAAACCAGTGAGCCGGCCACTTTTTCTTGGCACTGCGAACACGACAAAGAATACATTATGTCTCTACAACGTAACGCTATCTTATCGTACAAAGAAGGCAGGATTGACCTCGCGCTTTAGGCCTTTACTGCTGGCCAATTTAAGACCTTACGACGTGCTGCAGCAGCCTACAGCGTACGACATTAGCAGCTCTCTAATCAGCTTCGTGGAATTACTAATCGACTTAATACACGACCTAGAGTCTAGAAGCTCACTATAGCAGAGGAACAGACTATCGTACGATACATTCTTAACCTTGACGCGCGAGGATTTGCGCCCTAGCTATATAAGGTGGTAGATATTGCTAATTAATTGCTAGCTGCTTATAGTGGGGTACCTATTAGTAAAAACTAGGCTTAGCGCTTTATTGCTTAACTAGCCCCACCACAAAGTGCGCGCGACCACAAAGTGCGCGCGCGCCTTACAACCACCTCAACCTCAACGCGTCGTATCCCCACCACCATGGCTAATATTGAGGCTGCGCTTGCAGCTATTAATGCCCTAGGACCTGATGAGCCTTTTTCGTATACAGATATTGCAAAAAAATATAGTGTTGTTCGATCTACGCTTACCCGAAGACACCAAGGCCTACACGCCTCACGCGCG